GTGGGAGGATAATGGGTAATATTTTCTCCTCTACTCTCCACATCCGGTGTGAAGTAGTTACTTTCCATTTGTTATGGATACAGTTGAAATCCCTTTCATTTCAACTGTCCCATTTCTCTTTCTCCTTTCCCATTGGCAATACCAGCTCTCAATGTAGGAGTGAATCCATTTAGTGTATTTCTTCTACTTTAGCTACAAGCTCATATATCTATTAAAAACACAATATTTTACATTTCTGTATAAATGGCATCTTATTTTATCTTTCTGCAACTTGATTTTTTTTCAAAACTGTGTTGTTATATTCTGTGTTCATTCATGCAAGTTTAATTTATTCATTATAATTGCATATTGCATGTATTTCATCATATAAACATATCACAATTTGTTCATGTATTCCCTTACTGAGGGACATTTAGGTTGTTTTAAATTTTCACCCTTTCAGATGATACTGCAGTAATCATTCTCATATTTCCAGGTGAATATAAGCAAGATTTTCTTTAGGTTTTTTTACTTAGAGTTAGAAGTGCTAAACAATAGTAAATAAACAACTTCAGTTTTGCTAGGTATTGAAAAATTATTCTTCAAAGTCGTTGTGCCAATTCACACTCTCAAACCAGTATAAAGAGATCCCGTTTCTCCATATTCTTGCTGAGATATTTTTATCAAACTTTAAGATTCTTGCTAACCTGAAGAGTGTGAACCAAATTCTCACTGTCTTGACCTCCGTTTCCCTGTTTACTATGAGGTTGTAAATTTACTTATATAAGCCATTCAATGGTTCTCTTCTGTGATGCCTATCATATCCTTTTGTCCAACTTTCTATGGGATTGGTTTTTTCCTATTGTAGGAGTTTCCAATAGAGTTTCGATATTAACACTTTGTTCCACTCGGCTATTAAGTGTGATGTTTGTTGGAGGTTAATCTAATTTAAAAAGTTTATCTACCTAGAATGCTTCATTGCATATTAAAATAATCTGGGTGTTTTGTTTCTCTTTTATTGTTTCAGTGTGATTAATTGCAATGACAGATTTTCTGATATTGAGTTATCCTTGAAGTCCTGGAAAAATTTTAGTTGTTCTTAAGTTAGTTTTATTACTAATTAATTCATGTTCCACTATTTTATTTATTTGAACTAAAAAAGTCTTAAGTGAGATTGGGCTATATTTTTACTTTGTTGTTTGGTCATTTTGTGGTTTTCATAGTAAATTATACTATCCTCTTTTTTTTTTAAGATTTTTATTGGGGAATTGGGGGATGGGAACAGTGCTGGGGAATTGGGGGAAGGGGAACAGACAAGTTG